ACTTCATTCTGTAGTCAGTCGCTCTAATTAGCTTTAGATCAATTTCCAAGTGTTGTTTTGCATGAAGCGGAAACAATGAAATCACTAGAGATATTGTAAATAAGAAATCACTAGTGAATAAGGTTGAAACTGTATTATTAATAATGATTATTATTACAATCTGTCTGAAACTGGTACCAAAAGTAGAATTTCTAAATGAAAGAGTTCTGAAACGAATACGCAGGATCTTGTGAGTCGATTATTTTGCTACAAATAAGTGAATTTTGTCCAAAACCAAGATAAGTTAGAAAATCACTGAAAACCAGTGGGTACTGGACAGCTGTTTCACTCTAATATGAGACTCTCCAGCAACTCACACCCAGAACCTTCAGGTTACGAAACCAACCTGTTGATTATTTATCAATGAAACTGTTCAGATAAGTTTAAAATAAAACCTTAGTTTTAAATAGGTTTCCAACCAGTGGTCTCAAGGTTACTGGTTTAGTAATTTAAATAGATTAATTCGTAGTGAATATCCTCTTTTTATATATTGGTAGGAAAGAAGTACACTATTCTGTAATTACCGTCTTCTTCTCAGCTTCATTCACCATCCAACCGTAGAAACTAATTATAAATGTAATCACTTTTCGAGGTAAAATGTAAGGATAATAATAATATCGATAGCTTGGCCCTGGGAAAATATTTCTGTTCGGTATTTAATTTTTAGCGTGTTTAATTATGAAATACTTCATCTAACTTTGGGATTCTTTAGCAGAACGCATCCATGACTTCATCGTGGATCAAAATCAGGACCTTCAGGCTAGGATGCCATTCTATTGATTATGCAGTTGTTGGAGAGTATTCCAATTACCCAGGACTTTTAACTTTTGTCAGTTTGCGATGTATATACTCGCCTTAAGTGTGCAGCTCCTGGATTCGATCTAAGGTCCAGTCATGGGGGGAGTACTGATGAAGAGTCCCGAATTAGGACGGAATAACTACCTCATACTTGCTGTAATGGGTTCATGGATTTCAATCGGGTTACTGAATAGTCAACAGGCTGGCTGTATAACCAGAAGGTCCTTGTTTCGATCTCTGATGGCATCGGTGGTGCGTGCTATTGAATAGTTCCAAACAAAAAGAATGACCACTACTCAGTTGTCACCAATGATTCTCTAATCGATATCGGTTCATGAAGAGGTCGACACCGAAATTAATTAAAATCTCTGGAACCCAAAAATGTCTGTTTCCAGTTACTTAAACCGAGTAAATGAAAAAAATTGTCCTACGTAACCAAATGAATTTCCTGGGGAATTTGAATCATCTAATAATTGAAGGGAATAATGTTATTTTGAAAGTATATTGTTAGATGTTGTTAGGCGTTAATCGGATGGATATCCTGAACCTGATCTTCAAAGGGAACATCATTTTCGACAAAGGTTGTAGCGGCATTCTGCTAAATATAAGATCAACGTTCTGATTTTCCTGTTAATTCAGTTTTTATAATATTTAATATTTAAAACCACAGTATATCAAAATAAACAGACGTTTTGTGTTATTAGGCTGTATCACAACCACACCTGTTATTTGCAAATTGCACAATTCGGGGTGACTTCTTTGAAAAAAAAAAACTCAAAATATTCAGATCACAATATGTAATCTGCTTGATAGATACAATAAATAGGAGTCAAGAAAATAAGCATAATTACATGGTGAAATGTACTACCCATTCACATGGGTAGCTGGAAACCACCCAAATCAGTCAGTAGTGTTTACTAACCAAATAGAAGTAATCTGAACAACGGAGAGTAGTCTTGCTCATTTGCATTCCAGTTCATCAGTGGTATATGGGGTTCGATTTGAATCAGTTCAGAATACCCCGATTCTGGTAGAATAGGAAAAGTCAGGATCTAGAATGGGAAGTGCGAATTACAGCTACGTTATGCTCTGAACGAGATCGTATCCTTAAGTGTTAATCATAGGATGCCAGTCTAAGGTCATAGCAGTAATAGAACTGTAATACTAGTTAAATCTTAAGAGTTTAAAGACTCCTCAGGTAGGGAAAAGTAGAGCATATCGATAGTCAAGCAGTCATTATTTCTTTATAGACTAAATCAGTATGTATTCTTATTGAAAGTGTTGCCTGTTTTGATTTGTTTTGCCTGATTTGATTTTTTAAAATTTACTCTTTTATCATCAATCATAAATAATTTAGCGCAATTATTCTCCATTTCTTTGTGTTTCAAGGGGAACATAAGGCTTCAGGCTTGAGCTTGAAGTTTGAATAGCTGTCGTTTTGTTTTTTACAGGGTAGGATTGTTTGGCCTACGACCAATCTTCCTTTTTTCCCACGTTTACTGCTGGCTAGAGGAATACGTGGGGTTTAGGAATGTGTCGGCTGAGAATCGAACCCCCGACTACGTGCCTGGCTGGCCAGCATTTTATCAATGAACTACTAACTGATTGTTGCATGCAACAGAGTATGAATACGAATAGTTATGAAATAAAAATATATACTCAGTCTTTGAATTAAGTTAGACATGTTTTAGTTTTTAAAATCAATTATTTGTGTGGTTTAGTCGTCTAGTACAAAACACTATGACGTTGAAGTGTTGGGCGCTGGGTTCGAGTCCAAGCAAGAACACCATCGTTCACTGGTGAACAAGCTAATCTAGCTAATGAGCGCCGAGTAAGACGAAATATGTATCCAGGATTCAACTGCTGGTCATCACTAAAACAGGTAATTGTGAGTTAGTTTTAGCAAGCAGTTATGACATGCTTCTTCTGTGTTCACTTTTCATAGTTAATTATCCAGAGATATTCATAAGCAGTATATCAACTTAAATGCATATATAGTTACACAAGCGTGTGGAGGACGTATCAGTCTCTATCACCAAAGTCTACAGAGACCGCATATACTTAGGTAGTTTCAGAAGCAGAATCAATTACCGAAACCAATTAATGGTGAAGACAGATGGCCATTTTACTAAATCTCAAGTCACATTATGGGGGCATAGATGTTTATACATCTTTTGAACCTTTTGCGGTGGGGGGGGGTGGGGGGTAGGTTCGTCATACGGTTTGTGAAAGTCTTAGCAATTAGTAAGTTTAAACCACCATTAATAGGTAGCTTATTTGTCATCGCTATAAACCTTTCTTGGTAATTTTTCTCTCACTTTACTGATCTTCGCTGAAAATAACTGTGAGCAGTAAAATTAATCCAATATACATTATGGGCTAGACTAAAATATAACGACACAAGCAATCAAACAAATAAGGCGTTACTTGAACGGGAAACTTTATAGAAAACATTATTAACAACTGGATGATAAGGTTTTGAACATAAATTATTGCTCATAATCAAATGAATTTAGTCACATAGTTTCACAATTTTTCTTGTATATACTTTCTCTCTCTCTCTCTCTCCAACTTTCCCTTGTTGTTGTTTGTCGCCAATTTCCACATCTCCGGTATAAGCGTTCTGTCATTTCAATTGCTTGTGTAGTGTTGAATCGATAAACAAAGCTTTAGTGATTAACGTCTCCTTTCATCTAACTACGTTACTTTTTGATACTCTCACTCTGTTCCACCCTATTGGTAATGATGATATATCCATCAGAATTTATTCAGAAATATACGAAGAACCACCAGAATAAGGTTAGTAATAAAAATGGCGAAAATAATAGAGTCCAAAGCCACTACAGTACTGCCATATAAAGAAGGAACGTCAGAGGCCTTACGTAGGATTTTGTCAATGAAGCTGGAATTAGGGAGACATTTAAGCCAACCAACTCTTTCAGAGATAAACTTTGTCAGCTTAAGAACTCAAAAGATCCAATTAAGAAAAATAATATAATTTATCAAATACCATGCAGTGACTGTGAGGTCAATTACATAGGTATAACTAGTAGATAGGGGTCAACTAGATTATCGGACCATAAAAATTTAGCTAAGCCTAGAATGATTGACTCTGCCAAGTTAAAGAACATAGAATAAAGCTCAGCCATTGCATTACACTCATTTGCATGTAATCACACAATAGGTGGGATGGGACAGGGTGAAAGTATCAAAAAGTAATATAGTTAGATGAAGAGAGACATTAATCACTGAAGCTTTGTTTATCGATTCAACACTCCACACGAGCAATTGGAATGACGCAACGCCTAAACCGGAGATGTGGAGAGTGGCAACAAACAGCAACAAGGGGAATTTGGAGAAAGAGAGGAAGTATGTACAAGAAAAACTGTGAAATCGCATGACTAGATTCATGTGATTACGAGCAGTAATTTATGCTCGAAACTTTGTCATTCAGTTTTTAATACTTCATCACTGTATGATATTTAAAATAAACTTATCTAATATGGAGCGCGTCGGTGGCACAGCGGTTAGGATGCTCGCCGACCATACACACGGTCCGGGGTCCGATCCCCGGCCGCCGATGCACTCCTCCTATACCTCGCTAAACTAGAAATAATCCTGGTAAAGAGGAAAGGCTGGGCATGAGGCTAGCAACCCCATCCTGTAAAAATAAACACTGCTACAGGAACTTCAAGCCTCTAGCTTGAGGCCCTATGTTCCACTGGGAACGTGAAGGGAAAAAAATATCTAATATGCGGCTACATTCTACCACAGTGTTCAAGTTCTATACTTATATTTATAGGAAACAAATTACGTAATATAAAATAGTTATACAGTAAGTCCATCTCCAATGTATGTACTAGAAGTATCCTCCGGTTTTTCAACTAGTTTCCGTAGCGCTACTCCAAATGAAATCCTCGAAATGACTATATATCACGTCATCTCGTGAACTACTTAGCATTGTCATATATTTTCTCTCCAAATGCCCCCACAATTCTTTCGTAAAACTGGTGTGCATTTCATTCAATAGATCAGAAAAATCAGAAGTATGATTTGTAGTGTTACAAAGTCATTTGATTGGTAGTTTGCCTAGGGTCTCTATACTTTACTCCTGTTACATTATTAAATAGTTACATATGCATTTGATAATTACACTGACTTACCTTTGAAATTCCCGATCAAAAATTTGATAGATAATCAATAATAGTTCATTATTCCTGATAGGATTTTTTGAAATCTTTATTTCTTCTCACTATTATCGATTGCCACATGCACAATTATACTCAAAAGTTATTTATAGAAAGTATGCATTTAATTCTCCACACACATACACACACAAAATAAGCACAAAAACACAATGTTTTGGCTTTTCTCTCTTTTTCCTTTTGACGTAACTATCCAAATTTTGAGAGACAGAGAACGATTGAAAAAACAAGTGAGTTTTTTTCCCTCACTGTTATCGCTACAAAAATATGCGTAATATATATTCAGTATGCTTATATTATGTTATATTATTATTATAATCGAAAAACATGAATTCACTGGCAAATAGTGCACAGGTGCGACCGAATTCAAACGTGAGCGCGCACACACACACACATACGCACAGACTCACACATACACAGTATGTGTCTAGTATATTTTGTTTATTTACGCGTTATTACACGATTGACTGACTGACTGACTGAGTCATTTTTGTTATTATTTCCATAATCAGTGAGACGGTTAACCTGTTTATTCGTCGGCCGCAATTGTAGTGTTGTCGTAGAGTTGTAGAACAACGGCATACATATACAGAGTCAGTCACATATGAAAATATTATTGTTGTAACAAATTCTCACTGGTTTGATGATTAGTGATTTATTTTTATCAATGATTTTTATTTTTTTTTACCATTCGTTTTCTTCTCTAGTAAATAAATATTTTTGATTGGTAGTTGTTGATATTTGAAAGGTGAATGCGATATTTTTCTTTATTAAAATAGACTAACTACTACACCCCTTCGTCTTATTTTCACTTATTTAATTCACTTAGTTAATTTCGCAGTCTTTTTTTATTCGTCCATTGATTGATTGGTCGATTGACTATGTAGCTGATTAGCTGATTGATTGGCTGATTGACTGACTGACTGATTGTATGACTAACTGACTCTGACCGATACATTCTCCCTCTGACTATTTCCGCGTATTCTATGTAATACTGTTGAGTGTACAATATAAAACAAAAAATAAACTGGCTACATATTAAATTTTTGTAACAAATTGATATCACTCTCTCTGTATCAGTAATGAAAATAAAAGATGTACCGAATAAATGCGCTCACACAAGCGAATGGATGATAATATCTGAAATAATTCTATACAAACGAAAGTAGCAGTCAAACCTTATATCTTGAAAATCTAATTTGTATTGCTCTATCATCAGTATGAAGTCTAATCGTAATTGCGAAACTGTGTGTAGGCCAACATGTGTCTGTCCATCTATGTGTGTGCGTGTGTGTGTGTGTGTGGCGGAGGTTGTGCATTTATGTACATCGCAGTTGACACATGTAACTTATACATCAACAAGTAGAAAAAACAAACACCAAAAACAGTGACACCATCCATCTAATACACAAGTTGATCTATATTCTAAGATTATTTAAATGATGGAAAATTTATGATTGGTCAAAGTTTATTCTTTACTTTTTTTTCAATTCCGTTTAGTCTCTATTCTCAAGGTTATTGTTGAATTTGTTAAGGTCGTTTTTGTTTTGCTAACATTAGACAGTGCGACTGACTAATACTGCGTTAGCTAAAAGTAAAGAATACTAACCATCAATGACCTTGAACACATAGATTTGGTTGCATTATAGAACCTGTAGTTAGTACAGTGTTACTATGTTAACGCTGTGCATAAATTCAAGTGCTAATTTCATTCTGATCTTGCGTTTAAGTAGTGTTTGAGAAGTGGGTTGATAGCATATTAGGGTTTCGATTAGTATTAGGATATTTTACGGTTACTATATATATTTTTTTCTTGTAAATAAGTAAACTTGAGGAAAGGGGGTTATTTCCCACATAGATCAGACCGCTTTGATATATATATATATGTTTGAGTTACATCAGGGTAAAATATCGTCTTCGTTACTGTCATATGTATTTTTCTCCTAAATAAATGGCTTTTTTATGTAAATGCATGACTTGTTCTCATTGGTCGATTCAAGGTCACTGATGTTTACAATAAATAATGCTATATGAATTATTTGTTTGTTTTTGCTAACTTTCAGCTTTATCAACGATGGAAATAGATTCCTGTTACATATACCACTCACTGGTCATTACTACAGACAGTGAGACTATAGAAACTGGGACACTCGGACATTCTCCCCTATTTGTAGTAATGCATTCATCTGTCATACTTAGACAATATATTAACTGAGTGTATTGAAAATTCTTAACTGATCACTTTTTTTGTTGGTTTTTGGATGAAATAAGTAGAAGCTGACCAAGGAAAACAACTTTCGAGTGGATTATTACTTAGTCTTGAATTTAAGGAATCTTGAAGTAACTGGATACCATTTGATTCAAGATTCCTGACTGCTAGATAATGAAGACCTTTGTTATTCCTCAACAGTACTCCAACATAGATAAACTGGGAAGGAAATATTCCAGGAGAATAGCCAAGTGCCCAGAAATTACGACCAAACTGTGTTCTGATTGATTATCTTTGTGTCTTAGTAGAAGTGTTTGAGTGGTTATTACCCCCCACCCCCGGTTGCCCACATCGTGGAAGTTGATTTCTTCTGGAAATACCTGGAAACACATTAGAGTCAAGGGAGAAACTGCAATAGGTCTACTATACACCGCTTGTCTAAAGTGCTTTTTATAGTCGTATCTATGTGAGGATCTTACCACTGGCTATGAACCGTCACAGAGTAAGTAAGTCTGTACAATTTCCAGGGTTGACCCTTTTTAACTTCCCCTCTCAACAGCGAAGAGGTAACATTGTTGAGCTGCTTGTTGTCTGTGGGGGACATCTTACCTCTATTACATCCCTGTTCATCAGCAGTGGGATTTCGCCATCAGAAACCCAACATTTGAGTGAATTACACTAACATGGTGGCCGCTTTTGGTTTAACAACTATTCAAACTGTCGTTCTGGTATGGTAGAAACTATAGGAGTATTCATTTGAACCAGTGTAGCTCTTTTGGTCATTGCATTGTGTAATGCCAAATATCTATCAAGATAGAAGCTATTAGTCGGGTACTAGTCAGCAACGTACCAATAAGAAATTAATAACAACCTTTTCATCTAGGTTATAGCTGAATGTTTAGTTCCACAAATTACATAGAAAGCACTGATTAATAACATATTCCCTCTTGTAAGTGATAAATATTTGAATAGCAAGTTTACGTTAATTTGGGTTTAGCATTTATTGATACTCATTGGTAAGGCGTAACTGTGATTCTAATGAAAAGCACTTTTACAGTTACTTTTATTTGCATTATTCAATGAAGATTTTGGATTTCCTAGAGACTTCGATTCATTTCATTGTAGAATTCATCACGAGAATTACTGAAAACTATACAACACTGTACAACTGTTTCGTTCTGGTTTGAGACTAATTCAACAGTAAGCGATAATTGCACCTCCAGGGATAGACCTTTTGACGCGTATCCTGTCAATCTCCAACATGGCGCTGCAGCCTACCATTGGCATCGATAAGCATGGGGCATTGAATTCAAACCAGTTGACTGCATAGTTAACGGGTCTCCTTCATAACCTGAAGGTTATGCGCTTTTTCTCTAATGTTGTTGATGCACACTGGGGAAGACTTTCGAACTAGGAATAAACAACTGTCTTATGCTCTAGGGCCATTAATTATTCTCTAAGTGGCATCTGTTTGTGATGAAACCTACACATAAGTTACCTTCTACTACTTAAGCTGTTTAAATCGTAAGTTACTTCCTGTAAGACTAAAAAATGTGATCCTTGGACCTAGGTTTCGTGCTTGTTGGCAGTCGTCAGTCTGGTGTACCCACAACTTCGAGGGTATTCATCTCTCTTTTAAGATTCTAACCCGCATCACCAGGTGCTGCAGTCGGAGATTTTATCGCAGAGCTATTTGAACTCGTGACTGACCTCATGTAGGACTGTATCTGAAAACTCTGGAATCCTAGAGGAGATCATTTGTGAGTTTGATTAGCTCATGGTAATGTTTCTGATAGCATCACTGGATGACACGGGCTTGAATCTCATAGGGGACATAAATTCCATCAAGGATATAGATACTCCTTACTGACGAGTGTCAAGAAGCATGGAACCTAGATCCAGGGCTTCTTGTCGACTGCCTTCAACCACCTAACATCAATTCAAAGTGGATCCTGATGCAGAGATACCAAACTTGGTAACCACACGTTTCAAACTTGGCTGGTAGAATTCGGTCGACACCAAAACAAACGACTGGACGCATGACAGTGGTTACTCCCTAGTGACCAAACAAGGTAAATGTTGACTTAAATAATATGATTTAATCATGTAAAGAAAATTCATCTGTGTCGGAACAGGATTCGAACTAGTAGTCTTCAGATTACTGGTTTGGCGCTTTAAACTTTCATCGCACCTTCAGTCATCACTCATCCCACTAGTAGTAGTCTGCCAAACCGAGGTTACCTCAAATAACCTAATGATCACCATTTTAAGCCTCTTTCACTTACCTTCGTAGCATCGCTATGACCAGGCAGGCAGGATCAGGATGAAAAAGCAAGAGAGACCTTCATTACTCTCAAATCAGTGTGGAAATCTCCTGTACTCAGCATAAGTAACAAGATCTGAATTCTCGTCATTCGTGTGAAGTCAGTGCTTTTATGTACTTTAGATACTTAGTGTGTACTTTACTGAAAGCATTTCCAAAAGGTAACTGCAAACTTTCACCAACAACTGCCTTCACTCGACAGTGAATGAAGATCAGATGGCCAGAAACAGGACGAATCAACAACAAAGCAATCTGGTAACAAACTAACCAAGAATCTACTGCCCAAAATATATGCAGAACTGGGAACGGTTACATGTTGAGGAGATGCTCGAGTGGAACTCAGATGGAAAGGGATAAGCTGGTCACCTGAGAGTGACATGGAGGGAATCGTGTAGAGACGGAATGAAAGCTTATGAGCAGTCGTGCAGTCAGCTGTGAAAAAAAGTAATTGCAGAGAATAAAGTGAAATGGAAGTCCTATGTTCTATTCGGAACTCAAGTTAGTATTTAACATTAAATAAACTCTAAGCCTCATTGCAGTTTACCTTCAAAAGACAGCATGTTTTCTCCCTACATGTTAAGGACTGACTCCTATACATACTGTAGATAGGATGGTGAATCTATCAGCACTCATATATGACTTTTGCAACACTATTTGTTTTTTTGTTTTAGTATGGTCACAAATTTTGATCTGATTCTCTTAAATTTTCAAGAAATTGTATCTGGTGAGGGATTCCGTAGTTGACCAACTCTATGTGTTTTTATCAATTCACCTGCTCGTGTGGAGCTAGGCATA